TGGCGCCGGGGGGGGGCTGGGAACCCCCCCCCCTGCCAGCACTGAGCTATCCTGCCCCCCTGGCTGGAGGAAGCAACAGGCCTGGTGAAAAGCATCAATCGGCCCCAGTGGTGCTGGGCTGGGCCACTCTCTGTCCCTCTCCGCATCGGGTAAGGGAGGAATCCAGCTCCTGCAGCCCCCTGGGGTGGGGCAGAAAACAGCTGCTGCTCCGGGGGGCAGGGTCGCATGGGAGAGAGGTACGGGGTGAACGGAAAATTCCGTGGGGGGGGGAGGGGTCAACCTGCCCCTGCGGCACAGCCTGGGGCCAGCAGGGGGCGACAGCAGCACGAAAACGGGTTGAAAGGAGGGGCGGGACTGGAAACGTCTTTTTTTCCAGATGTTTTGGAGGAGAAATCACCACTGCTGCCCGGTCGGCTCCATGCCCCCCAGAGGGCCAGGCCCGCAGGAAGAGCCATCAGGAAGGGGATCAGCTTAGAGACAGCGCTGAGCGATTGAATCCCACAGCTCAGGCTTTCTCTCCCAGGCACTCCCCGGCTTGGGCCCCGTGTATCCAAGCGAGCCAGGCCCTGTGGAACTCTCTGTCGCAAGGTTTATGCTCGTCCGGGCAGGGGACAGAGCTTCCTTCCAGGCTAAACTCCCCCTGGAAGAGGAGGCTGTCCCAGATCAGCCCACCCTCAGTGCCAGCTGGTTCTCTGCCCTGCCTTCTGCGACACAAACACAGCAGGGCGCACATGGGAAGATCCCAAAGCCCTCCGCTTGGGGAGGGGAGAGAGAACAGACCACGAGCGACTGAGGCAAAGCACAGGGCTGGGGAGTGGGTTCTCCCACAGCTGCCTGCGTGACCAGGTGCAGGTCGCGTCCCCCTCCCACCCATGTGCCGTGCCTCAGTTTCCCCCCCTGCCGGTGCCGCTGCCCTGTGTGTCTCGGCCCTGCCCCCCAAGGGCAGGGGCTGTTACCGTTCAGGTTGGAGGTGAAGCAGAAGGCATCGTAGCGCTCGTCGTCCTTGTGCCGGTACCCGTAGTTCCTGACCCCCACGGGGGTGTCTTTGCGGCCGCACTCGGCGCGGGGCCTGGAGATGGGGTACTGCACGGAGCCGTCCTCCAGCCAGCCGGCGTTGCACCAGTCCATGCCCTCCCGCCAGGCCTGGTGCAGCTGGTCGTAGGAGGCCAGGATGCCGGCGTGGGCCAGGCACGCCT